AGCTGAAGATGGTTTATGGATTACCTTTTGTCAACTTTAAAAAAAAAAAAAAAAAATCACTGATAATAAGCCTCTTCACCAGATTAGACAGAAGAAATAAATGTAAAACAGTTTTTCTGTTCATAGTTGAGAAACTAAATTTTAGTTGTAAGACTCATGAATCACTGGTTATAGATCTATTTTCTTTCTTCATCAATAAAAGGCTGGTTATATAGATTTTTAAAATAAACTAGGGGGAAAAAGAAAATAAAGAACTAGCCTTTTTTGTTAGATAGATAGAGATAAGTATTGATTTGGGTGATGAGAAGGGCAATGTACCAAATGTGAGTGATCAATATGATGGCACTGAGGAAGAGAAAGACAGAGAGAGGTACATAGGAGGTAGAGACAACAAAGATGAACCCTTTTGCACATACAGTACTGTGTTGTCACTGAAGGCAAACATGGGTATATGGGTGGACAGATGGGTGGACAGATGGGTGGACAGGCTGAACTATTAAGTATGTCTATGAAGTGGGGAGTGTATCCAAGAACATGTATAGGGTTGGCAGACAATGGTCCTATAAGTTTATGTGAATGATCAGAATTCCCAGGTGTATAGCAGAGCTGACAAGGGGCAAGGTTGTGGTCACTGCTTGGTCACAGCCAGCTACTCAGAGGGACCGAATAGTTGAACCTGCGGGCTTGGGACCATAGTCACAGAGGACCTCAAGCTCAACTGGCATAACATACTATACAAAACATTGTTCCACCTCCTACTTTGGTGAGATCACTGGGATCTTAAAAGCTAGCAAGCTGCCATCTAGATGCAACAATGGGTCTCTCCTCATCCAGAGCAAAGAAGAATGAAGGAAACCAAAAAGTCACAGAAACAATTAGTCCTAGTGACTGGTATACCATCCAATCAGCAGCTTATACGACTATGAGACCAGAAGAACTAGATGGTACCTGGCTACCACTGTCATCCACTTGGAAGGGGATCTATGTAGGAGATCCTTGATACAGAGGGAGGACAATGTGGACAAAACTCAAAATCATTTGGAGAAAAAAAAAAGGGGGGTGGGGGGGACCAGGTTTGCTAATCCGATAGAGCCTGGTGGAACCATTGAGACTATGGCCCCTAGCTGCCCTTCAGGTCTGGAACTGAACCCACACCTGTGGTTTCCAGCCAAACAAAATACAGGCATATGAGTTGAACATTTACCTCAGGTAGATACACTCCTTGGAGAGAACATTCATCGGAGAAAGAAGGGCTGCTTATGCACAGGGAGACAGCTCAGGGGGCAGAAGTACATGGAGGGATGGACACAGGGAAGAGGTAACTATGGGGAAGAAGTGGGAGGGGAGCTGTTGGATTGTGGTAAATTGTAGTCAATGTCATGAGACAAAGTGTATGTGAACTGCTGTATGGAAAGTGAATTTGCTCTGTAAATTTTCATCCAAATCACAATAAAAATAAATAAATAAATAAATAAATAAATATTAAAAAAAAAAAAAAAAAAGGAAACTATCATTTTTATTATAGCCATGGGTTCAAGTTCTGACTGCCATTTATAAGTTACATGATATCAAGCAAGTAATTTAATTTTGGGGTAGATGCGGGGTTCAATTTCCTCATGTATAAACAGAGATACCTGGTGACATAGTGCCTAAAGCATTTGACTGCTAACCAGAAGGCTGGCGGTTCAAACCCATGAGCCTCTCCTCGGAAGACTGGACAATCTACTTTCGTAGAATACTGCTTCAGAAACCCAAGGAGGGGTAGCTATGAGTCAGAATGACTCGACAGCAATGAGTTTGGTTTTGGTTTTATCCACCTCACAGTTCTGTTCTTTCTGTTTTTATCCACCTCACAGCATTGTTGAGGACTAAATGTGATAAAGTAATCATTTAGCACAGTATCTGTTACATAATAAATACTGGATAAAAGGTAACTGTTATTATTCAAAAATCAGTGTTACTCATTGAGTAGGTGTCTATAAGGCTGCTATAAATGGATATCCGAAAAGACTCCATGATGTTTCAAGACATTCTGTAATAAACACTAAAGAAATCAATGTCCAGCATTCAGCATTATCTTACCCTCCTGTAAACCTGGAACTTGTGACCACCATTATCTTTCCTCTTGGGATATCACTGAATGTACAGAATGAATGATACACTCAGAAAGAGAGCCTACTTTGTACATCACTACATTAAAGAGGTGACCAAATGAGACAAAAAGCTAGTAGGCTGTATTCAGCAATTTTTTTCTACTTTTTTTGTTATAAAAAATTATAAGGGACAAATTCTTAAGCAAATGCTGTGGGCTAAAGCCTCCTCTAGAGGTCTAAGTGCCAATCTCAGCATCATAATGTGATATAATAAGGTAGAGAACCATACAGAACATGCTGTCTAAAAATGTCAAAACAACTGGAAATCCTAGGAGCATGAAAGCTTGGAGAGCTGTTAAATAATCTTGCATAACCTCTATGATATATGCCTGTTTTGGCTAAAATTCAACACTTTAAAAATGCTCAAAGAAGCTGAAACTCAAAAAAGCCAAGTTACGCCAGGGGAAGATTTTACAAATGATTTCAAATAGATAACACAAATATCATAATGTGAGTTAAGCCATTTCCATATTTAACAATCTCCTGCAAAAATTTCCCAAATTCTTTCAAAGTAATCCAACTAATAAGCAAGCTTTTCACAATATACACTCGATCATTTGCATATTTAAGAGACTTGGATTCCAAACGGAAAGTACACTAACTCAACTGGCCAAAACATTTGAAAACAAACAAACAAAAAGACAGTTTGTTGTTTTTTTTTTAAACCAAAGCTGGCTGATATTCAGAAAGGGTAAAACCAGTTCTAAAATAGGGCACACGATCAATACACAGGTAAGTACCTAAAATATTCACAATTTTAAATGTGTCATGAAAAGCATCTGAAAAAATATAGTTTACTCATGTTGATAAAAGAATTTTCATAAATGTTCAGATTAAAACTACGAACCACTATGTTTGAAAAGCTAGGGATCTGTGCCAACACCCTTAAGAAAAAGTGCCTCTTCCCAGCAAAAAGGTACTATGATAAGCAAGAACTACTGAACACATTAACCTGAAACACTCACCTGAGTTAACGCTATTAAACAACAATTAATTCTTAATTATCATAACAATAGTGGAGAATAAAGGCTTTCATAATTAAACCTCAAAACTAATCCTATTATCTCACATGCCCCTCCCCCATCCCTTTAGGCCATCCCCTCTCTCCAGAAGAAAACAGGGATGATCCCTTTTTCCTAAACTTTACTTTGGAAAGATAGAGCATAGCTTCCCTTCCCAGGAACTCAGTTCTCCAAGGTACTAACACTACGGCTTTGTAATTGGAAATCATTGGTAATAAATGATCCAAAGCTAAGGTTTCATCTTATTAAAAGTCCACACTAATAATGTCTGGTTAGTCTGAAGTCACCCTTACAAAAGGTTTAAATAAATTCGTTCAAGAGCATTATCAAAAAGAAGAGGAAAAAATTGGGAAGAATTTTAAAATGAGTGTGTGGAAAAAATGTTTTAATGAAAACTAAACACTGCCTATAACAAGCACTAATGTGCTTTGGGACTACAAATGATCACCTCAAAGAGAGAACTCTTTTGACCCAAGGCTGTTTAAAATCATGCTCCTTTTTATTTTCCTATTTCTTACTGAAGTTCTAGTTGTTACTGTGCCACCAAATAATAATCCTTCGACATGAAATGCACTGTAACTATTGTTTTTTTCCAAGACACCCTTTACTGAGCTCTCAAATTACTTGCCTAGGATTTACAGATTTTAACGAAGTGACATGGTTGCAATTCAGGAAACATCATCTTAAAGTGTGTGTGATTTACAGACAGAAATAAAGTGATTAGACAGGCAACTTGACTAAATGTCAATATGTAAGGGAAAAGTACACCCTCTCATCTTCAACAATTTAGTTTGGGAACTTCTCTCCATAGCTCATTATTCTGAGAAAGCTAACATCAGATCAGAACAAAACCAACTGTTATCTCTGCCATTCCTAAGAAGTTGTTTATTCTTTAACTAAAACATTCTAACATCTACAAATCGTAGTATGGAGAAAGCAAAAGATAACTTAGCTCAAGTACTGGTAAGATAGTACAACTGCGATTAAAACACCTTTCCACCGCAAACTGCTGTTTACAAGAAAGTAGAAGTGCGTTCCGTGTTGAAAACTTTTACATTACTGATCCGACTGGAATAAGTCAGACTCTTATGCATTTGTACTTTTATCCTACATATTTTCCTTTACGTAAGACTGACAGGAATTTGAATAGCCCACCGCGACAGCAAACTGGCCTAATACCACCATCCCGTAGGAAGAAGCCACGTTTTACTTGGGCAGATCTTTTCCCCTCCCTTAAAATAATGCCTGTGGCCACTTGAGACTTCCCCAGTAGGGCTCCAGAAACTTGCAGGTTTAAATGGCCAAATTGGAACCAACCAGGGACAGCTGTCATCTGAAACTCAGGAAAGCTGAGAGCAGCCAACTCTGCTGAACAAGGAAGGGTGCGGAGAGATGTGGCGGGGCCCGTCGGAGGGAATGCATTAGGCTCCCTGCCCCCCTTTCCCTCCGCCCCATCAATTCGCTTTTCTGCAACCCCAGCGCCGCCATCCTGTTCCTGAATAATTAAACAGGCTGGAGAGAGAGTGAGGTAGCCAGAAAGGCAGCTTCTCGTACGAGTTTTCCGAATCGAGGAGGTGGGGTCAGCGAGGCCAGGAGCTGCATTTCTGCGTGCAGAAGACTTTTCCCCGGAGCTGCAGAGGGAAGGGGACGACCCGCGAGGCCGGCGGGGCGGCCGGAAGAGGAGAGTGGGGAATGACGTGGAGGAGAAGATGACAAAGGGGCGCTGGGACCCGGGCCGCGGGGCCCGCGGGCCCGAAGGGGGTCGGGACAGGTGGCCTGGCTAGGAACAATGGGGGGCCGAGGCTGCCCCCTGGAGCTCACCTACCTCCAGTGCCTTCCGAGTTCTCGTTGAGGCTGCCCGAGGAGTCGTGCTGGGCGCCCACACACCCGCCCATGGGGGCCCCCGGCGCCGCGTCCGCCACCTCCGGGCGCTCGTCCGGGCCCGTCGCCGCCTCAGCCTCCTCCGGCGCTGACGCCGCCGAGCTCGGGACAGGCGCGCCTCTCCGCTAGCCCGCCGCGGCCCAGCCTCCGCCCCCCTCGCCGCTCCACCCACCGCCTTAGCTCGGCCCCTTCCTCTGCGCCCACTTCTACCTCAGCCTCCTGGCCGCCCTCCCGGCAAGCCCGGCTCGCGCGCCGCCCTCGCCTCCGGCTCAGCTCCGCCAGACCGGGGCTGGCCCATCCCGGGCGGGCTGCAGCGCCTGTCTCGCCCTCTCACAGGCCCGCACACCCGCGTCCAGGCGAGCCCCGCGCCGACGCCGCCCATCCGCCAGGCCCCATCCGCCCCAGCCCCGCGGCACCACCCTCTAGCACCCAGGGCCTTGACTCGGCCCGGCCCTCCAGGAATGGCCGGGGACAGGGCGGGGCCTCGGGAGGCCCGCGCTCTGATTGGCTGCGGGAGGGGCTGCGAAGGGAGTGGGAGGAGAGAGAAGGGGAGAGAAAGGCGAAAGGGGTTCGGTCCGGGGAAAAGAGGAAGGGAAAGGCAGTGAGAAGGAGGGAAGATGGAAAGAAGACAGGAAAGGAAAGAAGGGAGATGTAGCAGGCAAGGCAGAACAAAAGTAAAAAAGGAGAACAAAACCGAGTTTCTGGTTCTCGGGCGTCAGCTCTTTTATCTTTCGGTAGAAGTGGGTCGGGAGAGGGGCACAGAGAAGTAATAATGGAAGATTTCGCAGGCGAGGGCTGGCGGTTTCCCAAATAGAAAAAAAGAGGGGGGGAGGCGCTGAACTCTGAGGACCCGGCACCTTTTGGAATCGTGTAGAGCTCGATTGGGTTGGTATCCCGAGTCTGGGCTTCTCCTTACATTCCTCCCCTACAATCACCGTGCCTCACTATTAGAGGTGGAGGGAAAGGCGATCAATGTGGTTGCAAACTGAACTGAGATTACTGAGGCGAGGCATCCCGGGTGGGGAGAGATAAGCCTGACCATAGTTCAGGGGGCGTGGGTTTGGTTCATTTTCTCAAGAATGATTGTTCAGACACAATACTTCTCAAGATCCTGACTTTAGATACCTTAAATCGTCGTTAGAGCAACGTGGAGTATAAATCATTAAAATACCCTGATTTTTTAAAACTAGAATTTAGTACATTGACCACGCCCCACATTCTTGGCCATTACAGTTCTGATCTAAACCATATTGTTAATGGTCCCTTCAGAATTGTGTTTGCTATGATGAATTAACCTAGGAGCTCTGGCAGCATAGTGCCTAAGGCACTTGACTGCTAACCAGAAAGCTGGCGGTTCAAACCCACCAGCCACTCCTAGGAATGAAGGTTGGGCAATCTACTATCCGTAGTGATACTGCCTCAGAAACCCAAGGAGGGGTCGCTATGAGTCAGGTTCGACTCGACAGCACATAACACAACATGATGAGTTAAAATTTTATCTTCATGCTTGGGTCTTTCTAAAGCTTATATCCACCTAAGCGCTGTTTTAACTGTCTGCTCTATTTTTTTTTTTTTTTTAACAGATTTTCTTTTTTAACATCCTGGGTCAGCTTTAACTTAGCTATAATTTTTTTTTTTAAGTAAAATACATAAGAAAGAGACATTGCCGCTTGGAATTTGCATTTAAATATATTCTCATACACTGCTGGTGGGAGTGTAATTAGTTCAGTCTTTTTGCAAAGCAATTTGGCAATGTGGATCAAGAGCCTTAAATATGTTCATACCCTTTGATTTAAGATTATTCTACATCTGGGAAGCTAGTTCACAGAATAATCCAAAATGCAGGCAAAAATTTAGGTCCTCTTATTCATTTGCTCAATAGATAAAAATAAGGGTTAAACACACACCTCTACATTTATACTAAAGCATAGAAATGTCTCGTGAAAAATAGAAGTCTGCTATATTAAACTTTACTGAAGAATTAACATTGTCTTCAACTGTAGTCATGAACCTTCAAAAAAAGCTCATATACAATCAATGTTTCTGTGTTGCTTTGAGATTCAATGGCTGTGCCACAAAGATACCTATCTCATCATTCTCAACTGAGTATTCACATTGGCAGACAGACATCACTTTCCTGAAGGAGAGAAGCTGCATGCCAAATCTTTTCAAAGAGATTGCTTTATCCTGAATTTTGCTCAAGAAATTGCAGAAACCAAAGTCGACTTCTACGATGTCTATTAAACAGATGGTAGGCAACCAACCAAGTGATGAGTGCTTTCTGATGAGCACTGCGAAGTTGGCACTAGGAAGAGAGAGCAATCTCATCCATTTTACAGCTTCTTAGCTACCGATGTTCTCCACCCTGTCTTCATCTTAGAACAGAGAGACATGTTTCGTGAAGATAGAGTAATGTAGCGGTGAAGGGACCAGGTTCTCCTTTCAAACTTCCTAGACTGGGATCTGGTTCCATTATATACTAGCTATGGAACCGTAAATTTCTATAGAGTTCAGTTTTCACCTATAAGGTTAGACCAATAATAATAGCTCTGGGGGAGCTCTTTATTAACTGTCCTCTCTATGTCATGTGTAGCATAATCTGTCCAAACTTTCCAGCATGACCCAATCCACTAAACATGTTCCCAGGGAGGCAGTGTTTTCTTCTGTTTTTCTATTTATTTTTTTAATAACATCTCTTTTGTAATCTAATTCACATATCATATAATTCCCTGACTCACAGTGATATAATTCAATGGTTTTCTAATATATTCACAGTTGTGCAATCAATTTTAGAACATTCGCATCACCTCAAAAAAAAAAAAAAAAAAACCTATTCTCATTAGCAGTTAATACCCATTTCTCCCCTATCCTAGGCAAACAGTCTATTTTCTCTTTCTATGGATTTGCCTATTCTGAACATTTCATATAAATTAAGTCATATGATATGTGGTCTTTTGTGGATGGCTTCTTTCACTTTACATGTTTTCAAGGTTCATCCATGTTGTAGTATATGTTGTTGTTGTATGCCGTTGAGTCAGATCTGACTCATAGCGACCCCTCCTTGGATTGCTGAGGCAGTATCACTACGGAAGTAGATTGCCCAACCTTCCTTCTTAGGAGTGGCTGGTGGGTTTGAACCTCCAGCATTCTGGTTAGCAGTCAAGTGCCTTAGGCATATCAGTACTTAATTCCTTTCCTGTGGTGCAGTGAATTACTTGGTATGGCTTTTCTAGCCATAGTCTTTGTAACTCCCACTAGATTACTGGGACCATGCAAATAAGGTGGGTAGAACTCTGATGCTGGGATTGCTTAGTTTTGTCACTCGGCCAGGCTTAAAATGAACCCTCCTAAAAGCAGAGAGGGGATCTCACTGCCATCAAGAGAGAAGAACTGGAGGTGAAGTAAAGTGTGTCCTTGGACCTCAGATCCCTGCACTGGACCTCCTTGGCAGAGATGTCCTGGCAGAGAGAGATGCCCCAGCAGAGAGAGATGCCTGGCAGAGAGACGATCACAGAGGAACCCAAAGGCATGAGATAGAGTGCTTGGCTTGCCTGCCCACAAAGCTAGAAAACTGAGGGCCCTTGGGCACTTATGGGCAGAGCTAAAAGAGCTTTGTAACACTTGCCCAACCAGGGCAGAGGCCAGGACAAGATGGCAAAGTCCAGAGAGGTGTGTCTGAGGACACAGCAGAGGGGAGAATGTCCTGATTGAAGAACTGTATCCTGAGTGCATTCCTGAACCTGTATTGTAGCCTGTTACTTCCCTAATAAGCCCCATAATCATGAGTACTGTCTGTGAGTTCTGTGTGGCCATTGCAACAAATTATCGAACCCAGCAGAGTGAGTACTGTGATAAGGACAGTTGCTATCAGAATTGGTAAAAGGCTGGAGGATGGCAGCATGTCTGGCCTCACAGGAATAAGCCTTGGGCTGCTGCTGATGATTCTGTCTCCCTCTTGTGAAGTTAGAGGAGGTCAGAAGATGTCACCTCCATGTCCTTTTTGCAATAACCATACCAAAAAAAAACAAAACATACTTCATTGAGTCAATGCTGGCTAGGGCAAAGTAGAGCTGCCCCACAGGGTTTCTAAGGCTGTAATCTTTATAGAAGTAGACTGCTTCTTCTTGCTTCCACAGGACAGCTGATAGATTTGAACCACTGACATTTTGGTTAGCAGCCGAATACATTAATCACTATGCCTTTTATACACATAAGTGGAGAAATCTTTAATTGCATGGCTATACCACATTTTGTTTATCCATTCATCAGTTGATGGACATTTGTTTCCACAATTAAGAATAATGCTGCTAAGAACATTGGTGTGCGAATTTATGGGATATATGTTTTCAATCCACCACTTGACTGTCCCTTTGTCATACTGTGGTGGCTTCCATGTTGCTGTGAGGCTGGAGGCTATGCCAGCTGTATTTCAAATACCAGAAAGGTCACCCGTGGTGGATAGGTTTCAGCAGAAGAAGGAAGGGACCATCCACTTTTCAAAATATTGGCCAGTGAAAACCTTCTGAATAGCAGTGAAACACTGTCTCATATATTATTGAAAAACTTGATGAATAGCCCTGAAACATTGATATAGTGCTGGGAGATGACCCCCCAGGTCAGAAGGCACTCAAAATATGACTGAGAAGAGCTGCTTCCTCAAAGTAGAGTCAACCTTAATGACATGGATGGAGTAAAGTTTTCCAGACTTCCATTTGTTGATGGGACATGACTCAAAAAGGGGAAGAAATAACTGCAAACATCCATTAATAATCAGAATATAGCATGTACGAAGTATGAATCTAGGAAAATTGGAAGTTGACAAAAATGAAATGGAATGCATAAAGATCAACATCCTAGGCATTAGTGAACTGAAATGGACCTTTTGGACATTGTGAAGCAGACAACCATGTGATTTACTATGTGAGAACGAAAAATTGCAGAGGAATGGAGTGACCTTCATTGTCACAAAGAATGTTTCAAGATATATCCTGAAATATAATGATAATATAATATCCATGTACCTACAAGGAAGACTAATTAATACTACTATTATTCAAATTTAGGTACCAAATACCAAAGCCAAAGATGAGGAAATT